TCATCAAGGTCTGTGAAGCCAGCAAAACAAAGATAAATATGGAAACTCCTCAGAAATAAAATAGTCATAATTACTGTCCCATTACATTTTAAGTGGATTACCATTAGATTTCTACTCAGTTGCTTAAAATTCTTCCAGGACGCTCCCAAATAATTAGTTCCATAATTATGTGGATTCTGAAGCAGAAAAACACAAAGTGAAGACAAAAGTTTTGCACTGAGACTATATTTCCTCTATTTTCAGTTTAGATAAATTCCTTTAGCCTAATTAGCAGAATTATGTGACATAAGCAGAAAGAAACTAAGAAAGTAAAACCACATGGTTGATATATGTGAAATCACCCCCCTCTCCCCCCTCCCCCCCAAAAAAAAGGTGAATTGAGTCTAAGTAGCTCCTGTCCTGTTTCCTTTGAACAATTGGTATATATCATGTCCATTCCACTTTCTGGCATGTTTGAGGAACAGATACATAAGGGGGACCTTGGTGGGGGAATCCAGCCATTGAGTTCTGAGGGCTTTTGTAATGGCAGGGTCCTGAAGTCTCAGTTCTCTTTGAATCTGAATATCCACTGTGCCTGTGTTTCTGCTGATAAGTGATCGCAAAACCACCAAGCTGAGTAGATGCCATGAATGAGGACTGCTCACTAGTAAGTACAGTCAGACCCCACCACATCAGTGAGTAGGAGACACTGCTCTTTTTCCCTGTGGTTCAGACTCTCATCTACATGTGAATGTTCATTTGTGCCTGATATCAAGATTACAGCCCTTGGAGGCTACTCTTAATTCGTATTATCCTTCTGGGGGATTCTGCAGAGGATATCTGTCCCTTCTAAAATGATTGTACTTTGGGATAAATAATCAAATATTAATTGGAGCCATGAATAGGGGTAGAGTCTCCACACGGAGTATTTGAGCCTCCATGCTATTCTCACTGTTTCTCTCTGCTCCAGTAAGTCATAAAATGTTCTGCCAGAAGTGAAATAACTTCAGCAGACAGCATTTTAAGAGCTTCAAATCAGTATAACTTATTGCATAGCACCGTGCAGGCTTTGCAGGTGAAGGCTCTCAGTTCGCCTTAGATGGAAGAGGGAGAAAAGCCCAGGTGTCTGACCTCAGATTTATGGTCTCTGCCTAGGCAAGGCCTCCCTATTCTGTGAACAGTGAAGGACTGATCTGACTGAAGTTAGTGCCTAACTTCAAAAAGAGGGTCAACAGCAGTTGAGAATGGGTTTGCAAAGGACACCTTCAGGCCTGAACAAATTGTAAGCATCACTTGGGTGTAGCTATGTTTTCAAGAGAGGTATGAACTGGATGACATTTGCCTTTGAGAGGTGACTCCTATGAGTCCTTTCAGCCCTTTTAGGGCTTTTAAAAACTATTTCAGAATGAAAGTAGCAAAGGACATAAAAGGTGATATGAAAAATTGTTTAACAAGCTTATTAGAAGGAATATAAAGAAAGTAGACCATAGTTTATAGCAAAGAGTTAAAACTAGCAATGAAGATGAAATATCCAGTATTTTTATTCTTGTTTTAATTTTTGTACAAAAGGTCAGTTGTGACAAGAAGGTCAATCAAATGGAGCTATTAAGGGTTTAGAAATCAGGCTAGAATATGAAAAGAAGAGGTGAAAGAACATAGATAAGAGATAGGTAAGATATGCTCAGATCAGTGCTGACTGATTAAATTTGCCCTCTTCTGTACTTAAAGAATTTACTTGAAAAAAATTATGAATAATACGCACATGGTTTTGAGACTTCAAGGCAGATGGTGAAGTCTGCCAGGAGCAAAGAAAGGTCAACTAAATGTGTCAAATTCACTTTGATATCCAGAAAGATACTGAAACAAGTAATTAAATAATCAATTTTAAACATTTAGAAGATAATGAATTGATAAGAAACAGCCAACACAAATTTGTCAAGAGCAAATCATGTCAAAGAAACCAATTTCCTTCTTTGACTACCCAGTGACTTTCACTGGTCTAATAGAAGGGGAAAAAATTCAAGTTATGAATCTTAGTTTCAGAAAATCTTTTTGATTCCATGACATTTTCCTAAGCGAATTATGGATGTATGACTACATGAAAAGTGCATATTGCAGGCATATATCTGTATTCAAAATCTGTGTTCAGAAAACAATGGCCAGCTGCCAAATAAATAGAAGGGTGTATCGAGTGGGTTATTGAGGAGGATGTGCAGGTTCCAGTAACATCGTCCGTGTTCCATCTGTGATTTAGAGCACGCATAACAAAGCTATAGTAAAATCTGGTTACATGTGTGTGTTATGGGTTGTGAGCACTTTGGAGACAGGTTTATAATTCAAAATTGTCTTGCTAAATTGGAGAAAGGCTCTGAAATGAAAAAAAAACCTTTCAGTTATGGTAAGTGCAGAGACCTATGTTTGAGAAAGCCACAACAAATGGACAAACACAAAATGGAAAATAGTTACCTAGGCAGCAGGAGGATAGAAAATGCTCAAGTTCTGTAGCAAATCACAAACAGAACAAGATGTTCTTCCAAAATAAAAAAAAAAGGGCAAGCATCCTTTTGGGATGCTGGGATACATGGACAAAATATGACTTTCTAAGCAATGATGATAATTCCTGATGTAGTCTTGGTGAACTTCATCTAACTGTATATAGCAATGAGGCCATAGAGAAGGCATCACAGTTCGGGAGGGATGTGGCTGTACTGCAGAGTGTTCAGAAGAAGATTTTAAAAAAGATCAAATGTTTAGAGACTAATTATCATAGGGCATGAAGAACTAAGGTGATTTAATAACGTGAAATAGTTTGTTTTGAAAGACCAATCTGCCAGACACCCTACTGAAAGATTTCCTCTATGAGTTAAATACCTGCATTTTGCTTGAAAATCAGATACATTTGTCCATATTTTAATGGTATTTTTTCTGGATTACCAGGACCTCAGGCTAGTGAATTTCAGAAAGTAAATACTGTCACTATAGACAGATAATTTTATGTACCATACAGCTAATCAGACTCACTCACAGTGTGTGAGATAGATATTCTATCTGCACGTGCTTGAGTGCTCTACCTATGGCTTGCCATTAACATTGTTCTTAGGAATATAAAGAAGACGTTTAGCTGTTTAGTCTAGAAGATAGAAATCTGAGTGAGAGACAGCTTTAATATATGTATAAAAAATAACTCTCTAAGGGTGACAGTGATCAGCTGGTTTCCTTGTCCTTTGAGGCTAGCTGAGATGTGATTAAATTACATAAGGTAGATTTACAATAGATAATGAGCAAGAATTCATATTTTGCACCTTTGCACCTTTCTGTAATGTGTTATCCAAAGCCTACTTTGTCAAATGATTCAGTAGATAAGCTTAGAAACTAGCTAAAAGCAGATCTCTTTACTCATTAGCTATTAATTTCTAGCTGGAGTGGTAATTCCTGAAGTTAGTGGTAGCATTATCAGCTGTAAACAATTATGTTAACCAAATTCAATTAATTTGATTATTTTACTACACTTTTTGCATTTACAAATATTGTTAATACATCTTAATTGCTGTCTTGGCTATCACTGAAGTGACAAAGAAATATTTCCCTTCAGATTTGTAGTAACAAGTAGATATGGACACATTTTGCTCTTTCTATGCTTTGAGGTCTTAATAACCACAAGGAAAAAAAATCCAAACCAATTCCTCATTCCAATCAATCTTTAGCTATTTCCAGAATTAAAAAAAGAAGCAAATATAATGTTGGCAATGTATTTCTTGGTCCTGCTGAGATGCACCATTTTATCCTAAGAGAATGTGTGTCTTGGGAAACAGTTCTATTTAATTTGCAGCCATAATCAAGTAGGTAGAAAAAGTATATGAATTTTATTTACAAGTGGATTCTAGCAGAATGTGGCTCACAACCTTAGGTAATCACTTTGAAAGTGCTTACTGCAATATTGAAACCAATTCATTTGAACTATTTGTATGAGTAAAACAATTGTGGTTTCCTATAGCTTTAATAACTATAGGAAACCTATAGCTTTAATATAGCTTTGATCCACTGGTAAATACCTCAGATCTTCTATTAATGTTGTCTGACACCATGAGCTCCAAAACCTTTTAGCTTTCATTTGATTTTCTAGCATAAAGACTCCCTGAACTACGTTAGCTTGCAGTGATTAGCCCTATTGATTTTTTAATTATTTTTATTTTTCTGCTAACTACTTGTCATGAAAATGTCGTGGAGGTTTCAAATCAGATATAGATATATCTTCTCCTTGTCTGGACAAGATCCAGGAAGTCCTAAGTGGAATTTTCATTCTGGAGCTCTTTGAAGATGTTTAATCAGATTGAGGACCGTCGTCAGAGTACTTACATCTTTTTGGATGGCAAGGTTCTTGTAGTGGCATCCACTGTGAAAAGATCATCTTGAGGGCTTTACCAAGAACAGTAGTCCAAGACAAGAGGAGAATTCTAATCTGTGGGGATAGGCTGGGCTAAAATCCACCTAATGGGGTTAACTTTTCTCATTAGAGTTTGAAAGAGCATTATAGTCAACATATCATGGATGGACCAAGACCTACTGTCTAGTCCTGTGTTTTGTCAGGTTTGAAGGAGAATAAGAATGTGGATGAAAAATTTAAACTCCCATTAACTAGTAGAGGATTTAGAGTTCTGTGATTTTCCTGTGATTTAGCCCAATCATGACTGGAGAGAGTCCAACATAGGGCTATGAAGATGATGGAGGACTAGAGCATCTCCCATATAAACAGAGGCTTAGAGAACCTACAGAAGAGAAGGTAGAGAGGTGATCTTATCAACAGATACCAATATCTTAGGAGAGGATGTCAGGAGGATGGGGTGTCCATCTTCTTCAGTGGTGCTCAACAATAGGACAAGAGGTAATGGCCATACACATAAATAGAGGAACTTCTGTCTGAATTTAATGAAAAACTTCTTGATTGTGAGGGTGATAGAGTACTGGAATATATTATCCAAAGAGGTTGTGGGGTCTCCTTCTCTGGAGATCTTCAAACCCACCTAGACACAATCCTATGCAACATGCTCTAGATGATCCTGTTTGTGCAGGGGGATTGAACTAGATGATCTCTAGAGGTTCCTTCCACTTCCGTCATTCTGTGATTCTGAAGATTCTGAATTCTCTGGTTCTGCTTCTGAGATGCAAAAGCAGGAAATTCCTATATTCTTCACAACTTTATATTGCAGCTCTCATAGACAATGTCATCATCCTGCAAAATATGTTCTATTATCATATGCATGTAGTCTGTAAAATCATCCTGGAAGCACAATAAGACTTAAGACTAAGGATATAAGTGGCTATAGGATAGCCCTGGGAAGTTTGGGCCTGATTTTAAGGCCTTAATAATAATTCACTACTATTGAAAATAGACCCCAAACCTAAGAATTTAAAGAGTGGTGTTTAAAAATATCACTCATAAGATATTGTTTAAATCACAAAAACTATAATTACTACATTTAAATTATGCAATGCCACCAGGAAAGGGTTAATGCCTGGTTGGAATTGGAGAATTGTTCATAATGGGCACAAAACCCCATCTGCTTTCACAGTACGGGCAGGGAAAATTATGGTACTATGCCATCCATTTCCTTCTCCTGTGATGCATTATAATAGTATCTAAACAAAGCACTTGTTGGCACATGGTTTTCTATATTATGCAAACTGAACTTTTCAAGTCCATGAAGGATGTCAGCGAAGGTTGTCAGTCTTGTACATTACAGTTTTAGAGAGTGATGACTGGTGAGTTTTAGAGTCTGATGACTGAGAACCAAGTTTCCAGAGCACACTTTTAGCATTTTCTTCTGGGTGTTTTAGGTGTATCAATATGCTGGCTCTTTAGCCTCTATGTGGTAAATATCCTTAGTCTATACGGTTTTGCACAGGAGTACTGGCAATCAAATCTCCACTCTTGAAGCTTGTCACCCAAGCAGCATGTGAATAAAGCCACTGTTGAGTGACTGTGAGAAGGAAAGGGCTGCAGTGAAACTCTCACAGTTGTCCTTGTGGGCCTGCGCCCTGACCTGAAACTACTCTCTCCAATGGCAGGAGACACTGAATCAAGCACTGGGTGTTCAGGGACTGTTCTGCGTAGCTATGCACATTGCTTTCTGATTTTATTATGAAGTACCAAACAGTTAGAGACTGTAATCTCTTTCTTCTTTCTGTTGTGCTTGTAGAGGAAATCTATCAAGAGCGGCATTTTTGTTTCAGTTCTTCCATAAAGCTAAAAGTCTGTTCTCCTCTTTCAGTTCTTTTAGATGTGAACTTTTCTGATACCAGGAAAGCTGAAATCAGTCTCAGCTAGTACTTTTTTAGGTGTTGAACAACTATAGCAATAAAAATAATAAATAAATAAATGAGTTTAAGAATTCTCTTTTTTTATTTAAATGACATTTCTCAATATACCACAGTTTTAGATACTCTGTTACATTGGCACTGAATACATACCTGACTATATAGAATCTGGGAAATCAGTATTGCTAAGAAAAGTCATACCAGAACCAAATATTACACAGGTAAAGTAACATATAGCAACTTCCAAGAACACAGGGCAAAAGTACCAATTGGCAGTCCCATTGACAAAAACTTCAAACCATATACGCATTAAAAAATATAAAGCATTAAGTTAATTTTTCACATGTAAAAAATTAAGCTGGTAACTTCTCATGGTGCCAATCACTGACATTTTTGATGAACTTGAGCTGTAGTAATTTGGTAATTCTTGATGATGCACAAGACCATCAGGAAGAATGAGAATGAGTGATTAATAGCTGCAAGACAATTTGAAACCTGTGCAAATCTGACTGCTGGAGAATCTCCTAAGTGCCAAGGAGTCTTGGGGTTCAGGCTATCACTATCCAGGCACTGGCATCCTGCTGCTGGCTGCCAAGGAGGGTAGGGAGAGAGGGTCAGAGAGGGACTGGTAACAGCAGTAAGAGCTTACAGGGGCCTCCAGCAACAATACATATGATAAAACAATCTTCAGATTGTTGTAATTCATATGGGAAGTGGCTTGGCATCTAAGCCTAACAAAAGCACTATAAGGAAGATGGTAGAAGGCATTTTTCTTCTCTTTACCCCTAAATATAATGCTAAATGCTCCTTAGCCAGTCCTCAGGCTTTCGGCCTGGTTGTGCTTAAACTAGCAAGACCCATGAAGTCAGCAAACACAGATACTTTATTTTAAAAGTACATAAAGGAATTCACACTACACGATTGATCTGAAAACTACACTACAAGATTATCTGAATTACAATTTACATTACAAGATTTTCTGAATAGTAAAGAAATAGTGCAAAAGCTTTTTCCATGATGCACTTCTTTTCTGCGGTTTTATTCTTAGTTCTGCTAATTTGAAAGCACATCTTCCAAAAGCAAAGTGAAAATATACTAAATGTAGTGCAACCTAAAAAAGGACAACAAAGAGCCAGTACATCTCCTCTGCAGAAGTACCTGGCAAAACCTTCATTTAATTCATCAAGAGCGAGACCATAAATAAATAGTATCATAAATATTACTTAGGTACTAATATAATAGTCTAATTAGACTTATCTGTGAAAAAGAAAAAAAAACCCACAATTTTATATAGAAAAAAATGCACACAGCAACTTACAATTAGTTATTTTCTCATCATGTATTAATCATCTCTTAAAATAATTAAGACACATTTCTACCACTTGCCACAATATTCACAAACTCTGCACAAAGCAATGAATTTAATAGTGACATAAAAAGAACATTTTCTGTTTGCAGTGAGCATGGTGCCCTGTGTACGTAATCAAATCCGAATTCATCCAGTGGGTATGGTCAAAGCCATCCATCCAGACAACCAAGTATTTTATTGTGTCTCTTCTTCCTCCATTTTAACTCTTTTGGGTGAATTTCAATCAGTATTTGCCTCTGCACTGCAGAGTTTTTCATTTTATCTAAAAACATTCTTAAAAGCTTTAAAAATAAATTAGCATTAGTATCAGCTTCAGTTCAAAGATTGTCTGACTCTTCCTGAAAATCTAAACAAAACAAGAAAAAATAAACACTGGTGATACACCACCTTCCCACTACTCCCAAATCATTTACTCATGACTGGTTTACATATAGGATACAATCTGTCAAGCATCTCACGCTTGCTCATTTCATTTTTGTCACTAATTTATCATATTACGAGAATTAAGAAGCTGGTCACAGAAGTCAGTTTATTTATAACTCTGCATTTCATTTTTGATAACCGCCATAAAAACATATGGCACAACAAATGACTTCAGTTTTCTTTTCTTTACAAATACTTTCTCTCCTCACAAATTATTCACTGCATATGCAGGCTGATGTTAAAATAGCTTTTAAAAGAGTATGCTCCGTGAAATAATTCCTCCTTCACTAAGGTACTTTATTATTCTGTCAGATGCTAAAAAAGCAATTTAGTTTAGAGAAATTTTGTGGTCTGAATTATGACCATAATTGGACAGAACTATATTGACTGTGATCCCAAAAAGGCAGCATACACCGTACTTTGTCTTCAGTGCTTTCCATTATTCTTGATCTTGAGTACCCTTAAAATTACTGACACACTTGGACAGGCGATACTTAGGAACCTTAGAGTAAGAGAAGAGTCAGCTTGCTCCCGCTCTGTGCCGTTAACGTCAAGGACTGTATAACAAATGAATTCCTTGTTTGCGTGATATACATTCTTCTGGGAAGACACAATACAATATGATCTAAGAGCTAGTAGCTAGTGAGCTATTTGTAGTATACGTACGATAAAAATCCTATGCACTGTGTTCTGGCATTGTAGGAATTATGCCTAATGTATCGACTCTAAATAAACACCATCAGAAATAAATGTAAACCACCTTATCCAAAAACAGAAGATTGTTCTAGGGTAGGAAAAAATGGATAATTTGTTTTACCTGTAAAAGATAGGTTGATGTTTACGTCTACCACAATGGTGCCCCAAGGGTGGCCCTAGCTAATACAGACAACTTTGATACAGATTAACAACTGAATTTTACAAATTGTCACAGGTCTTCCCAATATGTTGAAAGAAGAATGAAAAGCATATAACAGCAACTTACAACATCTCTATTTAAACTTGTCTTTGAACTACAAACTTCCTTTCTGACTACCTTGCACTTGTGTTTCTAACACAAATACAGCCTAGAAACCTTAAACTGCCTCCTGTCCTGGAGAGTGTGGCTGCTTCCTGAGGAAGGAGCACTGTAATCTTGATTGAATGTTAAATCTTCAGCACTTTTTCTGGTGCTTTAATTCATCATGAGAAAATGTCCAGCTTTGCCAGAGAAGTATGGTGATGGTTTAACCTCTACTCACATAAATCAATGTGGAAAGCATATCTATGCTGGGCAATATTAGATGATACATATAACTTTAACAACTTGATTTGTTTGGTGAGGTCCTGGAAGGAGATTCACCTTAAATATATGCTTAAGTAGAATTACAATTCTTCAACCAGATTACAAGATGCTTAACAGATAAAGTGCTATATAAACGACCATGATGCTCTCCTCCACTTTGTCCATATTTTTGACAGGTCTGTAAACTGTATGTTCAGGACAATCCCCAATGTGATTTCTTTTTTTTTTTGTGACCAACACCATTTCAAACAACATTTGAATCTATAAAATAGAAAACCAATATGTTTTTAAGCAAAACCCAAATGTCACTAGTAAGAATAGATATTCAAAATGATAGAAACTAAACATCATTATTCCACTACCCTAAGAATAGGGCAAACTCACAATGATAACAGCTATACACATTCACAGATGTTTCTTCATAACATGAAGATATAAAAATTCAAACTAGCTGAACTAGATTAGAAACTTGCTCTTACTCGATGATACTTCGAAGGTCTAGCATTCTTCCCGATTAGACTCTCGGACCAGATCATCAGTCTCATACTGTGAAATGTGGCATTAACAGTGATGTGAATCCCTATTTTCACGAGGATAAACAGCTTCTTAAGTAAGTAACTCACCCCATGTCAGTGGAAAAGAAAAAAATCAAAACGTATCCAAATCAATTCTCTGATGTTTTTTTCTTTCCTTTAAAGGCCGGTGTTATTTGTCGAAGAAATGATTGGTGCCCAACTTGGATAAGTATAGAGATCAAACAGAGGCACAATCCATGTCATAATTCCAAGCATAACTACAGCAACACTGATGATGTTAATGCCCAAACCTGCTTTAACCTAAAGGAAGGGAAAAAAACAAAGCATAGACAATGTCAACACTGTGAAAAATAGTTGCTAAAAATAGTAAAAATTAGACATTAATGTTCCCAAGTGATTGTCAGAGTGCTTGAGGGAGTTTTGCCTAAAACTCACCATGTCCATAATAGATAAATGACCATATGAAAATACAATGGCATTGGATGGGTTTGATACTGGGAGCAGGGATGCAAAGGAGGTACACAGGGTGGTAGGTATCAAAATAAAAAGTGGGTTCACGTGAATGGCTTCAGCCTGCCAGAAAGTAAAATAAAACAGAAAGAACAGTTGTCAGGGGAGACATTTGCCAGATGAAATACATCAAATACAAACTTAATAAATTAGCACAAATGAACTGTGAACTGAACCAATTTTTGAAAACTGAACCAACTATCGTAAACAACTTTTTCTGATAGCTCCTATTTAAAATTATATCAAAGGAGCAATGGAGTTTCTAACAAAGAATAGCTACTGAACTTTAAATTCACAGCTAATTTCTGTCTAATCTTAGGCAAATTTGTAAGATACAAGACAAATGGCAAGCATTAAAAATAAAACTATACGAGAAAGATTTTAGGGTTTAATTTGTATATAGTATATGCACAGCGGTTTGGAGGCTATAGATCAGAAGATAACCATAGCAAATATCAAAGAAGAAAAAAGAACTGAATGTTTTGGTAAAGAAGAGAGGACAGGACTGAGCAAAGGAAAGAAGAAACGAGGAGTACACATAAAGCCTTTCTATTAGTCCTCTCTTCTCTTTGGTAGTAGCTGGAATATTATGGTGGGATATTTCTGTCAGAAATATAGTCCTGATTAAACACTAAGATACTTGTCCTTTTAAAAGATTCCATTATTTTCAAATAGGGATAAGAGCTTTGATTCTTGAGCATGTAACTCTTAACTTTGCAGAATTTTCAGTGTCTCCTCAATGAAATCCCCTAGACAACCAGCTCCCCAGTGCACAACACAGCACATAAACTATTTTATGAAGACTAAAAAAATCTGCTTCTTTGACGAGCTTTATTATAACTGGGATGGTAGAGCCCATACTGGTTCTAAGCAGCCTCTGTTATACTTACCAAAGGAGATAGTATAGGCAAAAATATCGTAATGGTAGCTGCATTGCTAGCCACTTCTGTTACTGAAGTGACAATAATGCATGATATCAAGATAATCAGCCACAAGGGTAATGATCCTAGAGGGGTTAATTTACTTCCTACCCACGCAGACAGATTTGAAACCTGCACAAAGAATATAACAACATGAATATATTGTGTAAATTACTACAAATAAAATTTAATAAATGATATAGAACCAGAATTTACCATCTTAATTGTGAAGGATTTATATAAAAGAAAAAAAAAAAGGACATGAAATATTTCCCGATCCTTCTACATACTTTTAAGCACATTGTTCTAATCGCACCTTTGTTCTTTAGGAACCCATGCAAACATAATTCTGTATATTTATATTTATTTTGTAGAGAATTTTAAGAAGGCAGCCCCAAAAAAATTTAATCTGCATATATCAAGGCACACAGCAGGGTATGGGACAAATCTTGCTTGATTTACCTGCGTAGCCAACAGAGATCAACATTTTTGGAAAGTTACCTCAGGGACCATTAATCTTACATCTTTGGAAATGGTATGTCTGCACAACCCCCACCACTATTATGCTTAGATTAAAACAAATAACAAACAGTAATCATCACTGTGCACAGTCTTTGAAAACAGAGAAATTCTTTTTCTTTCAATCTTCCTTTCTAAGCTCCTTGAATATTCTTCGTAGTTACCATATTCAATATGGCTACAAAATACTTGTCAAAATAAAAGAATAACCTTGAATCCAATGCATGTCACACTTGTTCCTCATGTGGGTCATGCTAATTGATCAACATCGTCTATAAATTGCATTACCTCACAGCCGTCTGCCAGTGCAAATCCGCCACCAACCAGAATAGCTATTTCCCAGGGCATGCATGACTGAAATTCCTTCCAGGTAATCAATGGAGTGTAACCAAAAACAGCTACAGAAAAATAATAATAATAAAAAAATGAACATTTAGGAAACAGATTGAAAAACATCTTGAAACAATCTCTCTCAGGAAATACTTGGCAATCTCATCATTATAATACAAATAAAGTCTTTGACACGAACAACCTGCACTTCCTGGGACAGATCCTTAGCTAGCAAAACCGGCTGCAGCTTGAAGTCTGTAGAGCTATGGCAGTTTCCATCAGTGGAGGAGTCCATCTCCTTTCCTTCTTTATGTGGAAGATAGCTATAGAATATCAATATGATTGATTTATGTAATAGATTTGCTCTATTTAGACAGCTTGCTGAGCAAATTCTTTTTCACGTAGACTCAGTTAAATCCTGATATTGCACTCTCCAGGAACTCCCTGTTTTCACTGATTTCAGTAGCAGACCTGAATGCGTGAAGAGGTCAGTCCTGAGGCATACTTTGATCAAAGTAAATTCCATTTTAAGAGGAAAAATTTTCATGAAAATAGATTTATTTACCATGCTGAATTGTGCAAGGTTACCTTAAATACACAATAATAAATAAGCAAACCCAACCCTGTCCCATGTACTCCATTCCAAAGTCTGTTAAAATCAACAGAAAGGTTGTTTCCATTGATTTTAGTATGTTGTAGATAGTATGTTCCAATACAGCACTAGTTCTTCGCATGCTTATGTTGCAAAAGCATTGTCATTTATTTCTAGGCCAGGCATGCTTTACAGTCCAGTAAGATATGATCCTGTATGAAAGTAGTGAAACTAAACTATGGAGTTAATAAATAAAAAAGGTATATTGAGTGGAATTCATCTCAGTTGACTTAAAACACCTACATATGAACTGTCAACCACATTTCTTTTCATATTTGTAGAGAAAAATGGGAAAGTTTAAGAAGTGATTATTTGGACCTATTTTAGATATTCCTCTTAAGGTGCAAATTATTTTCTTTGGATGTCATTGCACTGAAAATAAAGCTACCGGGGGATGGATTTTGTTGTGACAGATACATTGTGAACATCCAAGAAGAAGGTAAGGTGGATCCCACTCTTGGTATTGCTTCATTGGAGCACCTAAATCTTAAAGTATGAAGAAACTTGCCTTTGAAGTCAGTTAAGTAAAGTCAAAGCAGTTCAAGTATAAGATATATACAAAAGTATAGTATCATGTAATGTAGAAAGTAACATTCAGTGTTGTTCAAATTCAGATATTCTCTATCAATACAATGGAGAAAAATCTGGTTCCATGAATTTTAATAATCTTATTTCCTGAACTTTCCTTGAATTTTTCTATTTTTACTGTATAGTCTTTACTTATTCTGGATACTGAAATGAAACAAATAGTTTCTTTTTCTTTCTTTTTTCTTCTTACTCCATAGCTTATTTGAATTTCTTATTGCCAGAAACTTCTAAGCAAACTTGTGTTCAAATTTCTGGCAGAGTTTAATTTATATTCTGTAAAGTACTTCCATCACTCATGTTTACATGTGACTTAAAAACTTGTTGGTCTTTAAAATTAAACAACGGTATTCTAACAGATGCATTGAATAATATTTATGGCTTATTCTTAAATAACTTACTGTAGCAAAATCTACATCAAAATATACTCAACTATTTTCTCCATTTGAAGTCCTAGGCAATGTTTTTGCTGGAATAATAAAGAAGAGAAGACCAATCACTAAGGCAGTTGTTGAATCCGTAGCAAAGCCTTTATACCTAGAGAGAAGTTAACAACAATCACACAAGAAAAGAAAGCATAAAAACATAACAGGAAAAGTATATTTTACCACACAGAAATTGTTTGGGGGATGGAATTGTTTAGGAACTATTGATGATTAAACAACTAATTTGCAGTCAAAAGTTAGCCATATATTTCAGTTCAGTGGTGAATTCAATAACTTTATATGCTCGGTAATATATCCAGTCCAATAGGCTTTAACTTTGCCTACCCAGAGAGAGCGATGCTCCTGCATCAATGGGAAGACTGGCGTTTCATCATCAGCCTCCTATGGCTGTCACTGTACAGGTCACAGGCATGAGGGCTGTAGTTGCTGTGGACATTTCTGGTACTTTAGAACTGCTTGCACCAGTGTGTTTCTTAAATTGAATCAATTCCCTACCAACTGGCACAGAATATCACCAAGATCTGGGAATGGGCAAAGCTGAGCTCTAAGGCCATTTTAACCTATCATGTCATGTTTCTGAATGCTCCTAGGTGGTATTATAACCCCATCTGTATTACATTAGTCAAGAGATCACTGAGAAGAATAAGAATTCTAATGAAAAAACTTTTTTTAAAAAAAGTGTTAAAACTGTAGTTATTAATTTCTTGTTATATTTTCTATAAGTTCTTCTTTTCTCTACACCAATATATTTGTTCTCTCAGCCTCACATGTATGCTTGTATCTCTATATGTAGCAACGGTAGGTGCAATATAACTTCCCAGCAGGTATTTAGCTTAAGACTTTATGCTAATGCAAGGCTTTCCTCTGAGAGGGAAAATCATCTCTCAGTTAAACACTATGAATGTATAATCCGATAAAAGCTCTTTGCTTTAACAATGATGTTTGTTAGGTGATGACACTCAAAACACCCTAATATGCACAGCACATTGACACCACAAACAGCAGAATGTTAGCTGGCACTGTCAAGAATGAACCTTTAACAAAGTTAAAGGTCCTCTAGCATATTTCACTTCTTGTATCTGTTAGCACAAAAGTCACTTTTAAAAACAAGTTATTATTTTGGAATGGCTTCCTTAGGTAGGGAGGGTCTGCTTATAGGCCAGCTTTAGCCTAGGGTGGGTGCACCATAGCTAAAGAGTAGCAAAAACCTTCTTCTAGCTTCCTATCCTGCACTCTGCTGTGACTTGAGGGGCATTTTGCAATGAGCCAAGACTTGGATTATAAAGAAACAATTGATGGCACTGTTATCTGGTAGGCAGCTGCTCTTCTCCCTGTATAGTTTTGTTATTGCTTAAATATAATCAGCGTTCCTGATTGATGAGTGCGAAGCACTATTTTTGGAAAACCTGTTTGGGAGACAGAACTATGTCTATATCTACAGTGATAACATATCACTAGTGTTATCACTATCAATATAGATATATGTGCATATTTATATAGCACTCCACATACGTACACAAAAAGAGACTTAAAAGATAACAGTTCTTGAACTGGAATAATAGTTTAAGAAAAACACACAACAGCCTACCATTTGTCATACTGTTATGGAGACACACGTGGCACTATTCCAGACAGAAGTTTTTCAAATATCATTGAATTTTGAGATGAGCATTTTTCAAATCAATTTACCCAAGCTATAATGCAATTACATATGCAATATCTACCTGCTTGTAATACTAGAAATCTGATTATCCTATAAGGAGGCAAAAAATAAGAGGCTGTCATTTAAGGAAGACTTCAATGACTTGAAATAAAAACACTGTAGAAAGTGGGACCATGGGCAAATTAATATGACCAATTCCATTCACAATCCCACTTTGCATCCACCCTTCAATATTGTAGTTGTACACATTCCAAAAATGCAGTGACCTTGTACTAGCCATAGAGAAGGGACAAGCCATACAGGAAAGTGGAAAAATGTGCTGAGACGCACAATCTGGCTGCAATATGACGAAAGTGAAGAAAGTCCACCTTGCATACGTCAGCTCTAATCAGCTGCAGTTCCAGCCCAAACTCTCAATTTCTTAGAAAGTTCATAAAGATATGGCCAAAAGCCAACTTGAAACTCATCTTAATTGAAGCTGGTATCCTGCAGTAAGTACAGCGTGGAATCAAGCCAGGGCAGGGACGGGAACTGCTGTGTTAGGAAGGATACGTGGTCTTGCAGTGTCAGCACATGAAAAGGAAACGCATTTTTGCACTTCTCAGAAGGGTTATGCGTGCTGATTATACACAGCATTCAGCGTCTGGCTCCAGTGGCAGGTAGCAGGGACTCGGGGCGAGGCAGTAAAAGACTAGTCTTTGGTAAGTTCATAGAGTTTTCTTGGTAAAAATTAGTACAAATATTTCTGCAGGGATCACAAAGAATTGTGTCTATATTTTAATTAGGTCTTCAGTAACTTGTGTGAATGCAGACTATCACTAAACGTGTGGGCTGAGAGTGGTAAGAATTTCTTTCTTCAAACAAAACTTTAAGCATTCTGTTTAGTTTGTCAGAAGTTAAAATGAGATATAATTATATCAGATAACTATATTCTTAAAGCACCTATTACAGAGAAGATTTTAACCTAGCAGAGAAAGACAAAACAGATGGCTGGAAGCTATATTCAGAAAAAAAACAAAGGTGCAAATTTCTCTGTTTTATTTTGGCAACAGAAATGATTAGCCGCTGGGGCAAACTATCAAGGAAGGTGGTAAATTCTTCCATTGCTTCCAAAATATGCAAAACATAGATTTTCATATCCTGAAATAAGCCCAGGTGCTTTCTGAGAACTCATGTTATAAGAAAATAAATATATATATATATAGCTAAACTTTCAGAACACTATGGCCTCTTGTGATGCTAGGGTCAGTATGCTAGGATAAATGTGTTGACAGTCATGTCATGCAGTTTAAAAACCTAAAGGTGGTGTGAATCCTACTTAAAAGGATTCATTCCTTCTTAAAACCTACCCACTGGGCCAGGGTTACTTATGACTCTGACAGGTTACTTATGACTCTGACATTGCAGTTTTGTTCCTCCAATTTAAGGCAGGTTTTATAGTGAGAGCAAAGCTCATCTCTACTGGTGACAGGTTCCCTGAGGTTGACTGTAGAATAAAATCCTGTGGGAAATAAGTACTATCATAAATCAAAATCCAGAGAACATTTCCTTCCATTTGCTTTGTGTAATATTAACTTCAGTTTATACTGACGGCATCTTGCACAGGCATATATGCACATATTGATATGTGATATTGATAAAAAATCCCAAATAACATATTCCACTGAACAGTTCACCAACACAAGGTATAGGCTACAGTAACACAGTACTAGGAGCCTCTTGAATCTTAGGGTGATGAATCACAGAATCACAGAATGGTTAAGGTTGGAAGGGACCCCTAGAGATCATCCAAATCCCCAAGACAAAAGATCTAGATCTAGATCCAGATTGAGAGATTGTCCAACCCCCCTGCTCAAGCAGGGTCACCTAGAGCAAGTGGCACAAGGTTGCATCCGGGCAGGTTTTGAAGGTCTCCAGATAAGGAGACTCCACAACTTCTCTGGGCAGCCTGTTCCAGGGCTCTGTCACTCTCACAGTAAAGAAGTTCTTCCTCATACAGATGTGAAACTTCTTGTGTTTCAGCTTGTACTCATTACCCCTTGTCCTATCACTGGCCACCACTGAGAAGAGTTTGGCCCCATCCTCCCTACATTTTCCCCTCAGGCACTTATACATATTGATCAGATCTCCTCTCAGTCTTCTCTTCTCTAGGCTAAACAGGCCCAGCTCGCTTAGTCTTTCTTCACAAGATAGATGCTCCAGTCCCTTAATCATCTTCCTGGCCCTACGCTGGACCCTCTCTAGAAGCTCCACATCCTTTTTGTACTGGGGAGCCCAGAACTGCACACAATACTCTAGGTGTGGCCTCTACAGCACTGAATAAGAGGGGCAGGATCACCTCCATCGACCTGCTGACAACACTCCTCCCAGTGCAGGACCTTTTTGGCCTCAAGGGCACATTGCTGCCTCATGATTAACTTGTTGTCAACCAGGACTCCCAAATCCCTCTCCACGGAGCTGCTTTCCAGCAGGTCAACCCCTAATCTGTACTGGTGCCTGGGGTTATTCTTCCCCAGGTGCAGTATCCTGTGCTTGTCCTTTTTGAACCTCATGAGGTTCCTCTCTGCCCAACTCTCCAGCCTGTCTATGTCCCTCTGAAGGGCAGCACAGCCCTCACGAGTGTCGGTCGCTCCACCCAGCTTGATATAATCCGCAAACTTGCTCAGGATGGACTCTGTGCCCTTGTCCAAGTCATTGATGAACAAGTTGAACAGTACCAGGCCCAGCACTGATCCCTGGGGGCACCCCTGACCACAGGCCTCCAACTAGACTCGCACTCATTTATCATGGCCCTCCAAACTCTGCCATCCAGCCAGTCCTCGATTCACCTTACTGGCCTCTTGTCCAATCCAAACTTCTGGAGCTTTCCTACGAGGATATTATGGAAGCCTTGCTGAAGTCAAGGTAGACAACATTCACAGCTTTGCCATTGTCCATCCAGCCAGTCACGTCATCATAGAAGGCTATCATGTTCGCCAAACATGACTTCCCCTTGGTGAATCCATGCTGACTAGTCCTGATCACCTTCTTTTCCTTCGTATACCTAGAGATGGTCTCTAGGAAGAGCTGCTCCATCACCATTCCAGGGATGGAGGTGAGGCTGACTGGCCTGTAGTTTCCCAGGTCGTCCCTCTTGCCCTTTTTGAAGATAGGAGCGATGGTGGTTTCTTCCAGTCCTGAGGCACCTTCCCCTCCCTCCATGACCTCTCGAAGATGCTGGAGAGCAGATGAACAATAACCCCCGCCAGTTCCCTCAGCACTCTTGGGTGCATCCCATCTGGGCACATAGATTTATGGGTGTCCAGTTTGCCCAAGTAATCCCTAATCCAATCCTTCTTGACCAGCGGAAAGTCCTCCTCTCTCCTGGTTCTCTCTCTCATATCCAGGCTCTGTAGTTCATGGGGACTAGCCTTAGCAGTAAAGATAGAAGCAGAGAAGGCATTTAGTAACTCTGCCTTCTCTGCATCCTCTGCCACCAAGACACCCTCCCCATTCAGCAGTGGACTAGCATTTTCCCTAGTCTTCCTCTTGCTGATGATGTATTTATAGAAGCCCTTCCTGTTGTCCCTGACATCTCTTGTTAACTCTAATTCCAAACAGAATTAGGATGGAAATTAATGCAATGCAAGAACTGAGAAACATGGTTCTTTGTCTTTGAGGTATTTTTTTCCTGGCTGCTTCTTTTTTTTTTGCTTTGAAGACAATGTTCAGTCCTTTCGGCAGTGCAGTGATCTTTGGGTGCAAGCCTCTTCCATCAGAGTTTTCTAGCTTAGGTGGATAAGCCATGCCTCAGGCCAGAGGCATGTGGGATAATGTTGGGCTAGAGAGGAGGACGAGATTGGCCATCACAGCAGCACTGTCCTCTGCTCTCCTGTCCACTTCTGTTGCCATCCTGTTGCAGCAGTTGTTATCCAACAGCTGCGGTCTCCAGTGAGCAAAATGAGCTTGTATTCTGTGCCTCATCTGTGGTATGGGCCTGCCTTATTTTGGAAATGTTTTTATTGAAGAACATAGGCTTTGCTTCTCTTCAGATTATCTCATACAAATTATAGTAAGATTCAGCCTAATGTGCCATGACCCGTGTTTGCATTCTCTTCCAGGCAAGCATTAGAGCATCCACAAAGGAACACCCCCATGCAGAACCTGTGACTACCAGTTATTAGGAGAATGTTCTACTTTTTACTCTCAGTAAACAAAATCCTCAGACAAGCAAAAAATAAAAACTTGACATAGGGAAATGCAAGTAGGTGGACTGAAATCACTTCTTGGTCATAAGCCTCCTCAAATTTGAAATGCTGTTTACAATGTTTGCTTTTCAGTGTCAGTTAAATGGTGCTTGATGAGCACTGAATATTGGTATGAGGGAGAAAGGACATGAAGCCACTCTGATTGCTTGATTGGGTCAACAACCCTTCGTTAAGCACAGAATTTTTCATATGAGACGATCATCAGCCCTTCTGTTACAGTTATAATGGTAAAATATTATTTTGTTATTTTTGGCTACTTACTTAAAATATTAGAACATCTTAAGACAATCTTAGGGTTTTATGCTTTTTAATGCTATTTCCACATGAAAGAATTCAGCTCTGTGCTTCACGTTTTCCAAGGTCTACACTATTCCTTATGCCACCCTCTATTGGATACAATAGGAGAGCACTTGACTCTGTGTGTACATATGTTTGTATGTGTATGTGACACTACATGATGGTGGAGACCGTATTTAAAGTGAGGAGGCATGATGAGTGCATGTGCACATGTCATCTAGTATGGAGATACAGAAACACAAAAATAGAAAGCACCACCTGAGTCCAGCTTATGACTGATTGAGTTACATGTTAAGTACAGCCTAAACAGAAGCTATTTCACAATGCTCTAGAGCAAAATTCAGACGTTTATCACAGAATAAAGGAACCAAAATTGCAATGACTACAGCAAAAGAATATGAGAGATTGCAGGAATCACTGTATTATGAATTCTTGCAGTAGTGAAGGATTTTTTAAGGAAAAAAGTCTAGGTTATCCTGCAAAAGGGATTGTATAGTCAAGCTGAAGCAGAATGAAAAGAAAATTCAATAGTTCTTCAGGTCTGTGTTTTTGCTGGTTAGTTTAAGTATGAACTTGATATAGTTACCTATGGACAGATAGTAATTTATAGCAGTAATTAAAGCTGTCAAAGCAGAGGAAGCTTGGCGTGTATGGATAGAAGCATGGATATCAGTAAGGACAGTAGATTAAAAAATGCTGACTAAAGATCTTATCCTTCAAACTGCAGATTTTACAGATAAATTGTAAAATCAAACATTATTCAACCTCTCTAAGTCTAAAAAAATAGTAAAATTCATTTTAGGCGGTACTCTGTCTTACCTTGTAATGAGTTTAGTCCATTTCGAATACTGTGCAAATACATTGATGAAATTGCTGGAGTTGTACCTATTCTGCCTGAACACACTACATAGCTTTTCAACAATTTCAGCCTGGAATCTTTCCAAAGCATTTAAAGTTTTTGTTTGTTTGTTTGTTTTTTCCTAGCAGAAAAGCAGATATTCAGTTAAGACACGGTATAGTTCTTGTTGGTATATCAAAAAGATTACTTACTTTGGAAAAAGTGAAGACCATCCAGGGATGAAGCCAGGATCTCTGGTAAACCACAACAGAGTCATCAGAATGAACAGGACAAGTGTAACAATTTCTGGGTAGCTGTGGTGAAAACGTAATGGATTACATTTTACTGAACTCACACGTAAATTTACGTTTAGATTTATAGATTTACACATTTAGCTTTAAAGATTTAGAGCAGCTTTGCTCTCATTTATTGATTTACAGTTCAACACACCTTATTGGTCCGAGTTTGCTGTATTCCTCCTGAATCACCCGTGCTGAGGCCTGTTCTCTAACTGTTTTGTCCTTGCCACGTTTGAACATACTTTTAAAACTGTAACATAAATCAGCAATAATGGAAGATGAATTAACAGCATGTACACAAGAAAAAAATCTAAAAATCCAACCTTTCTAGTTAGAATAGCACTTCACTTTACAGGGCAGTATCTCCCATTTAATTATCACACACTAGACTGAACAGGTTGGAATTAACTGACAAAGCTCAGTGGGAGAGCATGAGACCGAGGCGGCAACAAAATGCATCCTGGTGTTGACTGGCTCATTTGTCAAGGAAGGATGAAGGTTTAATCATAGAAATTAATTGAAACAATCATATTCATAACCTGTCTTTTTAATGAAAGTCTTCGATGAGTTTGCTCTATAATGAGGAAGTTTGTATTGAATTAGTAGCCTGCATACTGATCAGCATGTCTCTATTTGTTTCAAACTGGATTATCATTCTTGGAGATTATTCTTACATAACGTTCAAAAGAACTCTATCAAAACAATCAAGAGAAATGACATGATAAATGTTCAAATATAGATGATGAGCCTGGGATGCTCCTAAATCTGCTTAAGAGTAGAAAGTCTACTTCATTTCTTACACCTGACGTAGTTATCTGATTGTGGAACTACCATCCCTGCAGAGGTTAGTGAATGCATTAAGAGCAAAGATTTGGAGAATCAGATTAAAAGAACTGTTGTTCTCTCCAAAAATCTTAAAAACATAAATTGCAAGGAGAAAAAAAGCATATACATTTTGGAAAATTGGACATTTTTGTTTTATAAGTGTAGTCATCTAGTTTATAATAAGGATATACTGTTAATTTCCTTAAAACAAACTCTGACTCTAATGAAGAACATCTTCCTGATTATTTCTCATATTTTGAAGACTTGGACCATAAAGCATATAATTTAATATTCTTCCATCTTGCACATATGCATTGTTTAATGATGGTGTGTATATTCTACAGGATGCATTTTTGATGTGAGTTTTCCACATTAGGCTGAGCAGCCAAGGCTCCTTATTTAATAGCACTCCTGTCCTTCCAGAGACTCAGTTGCACTGTTCAAGGATACAAAATCACCATTGCTGCACTAACTTCTTATTGAACATGTCAGATTTAAACAGAACATTCACTGCCTGTACAAACTATTTCTTATATTAACAATCTTCAGTTTTATTGATTCCAACATTTACTTACTCAAATCCAAGGAAGAGCCACTGGAGCCAGATCCAGGAGAACAGCAGAATAGTAACTGTGACGGGGATGGAAAGGACAAACCAGGATCCAAAATTGATGCACTGGCAATCTGGGTAACGTCTAGATAAAAGGGGGAAAAAAAAAAAAAAAACAGTTAAGCTTTGGAAAGGAATAAAATCCTGTCAGAAGTGCCAAAAAGCCCTGCTTGCAACAGGGATGTTCAGAGCGCTTTTTGTTGGCAGCTGCCTTCAACATGAGGTTGCTTCTTGTATCCTCTTCCTCACCCTCCCACCCTGTTCCTAATTGTTCTGACTAAAGAAACTGTCTCCCCAGATATGTTATGATTATTTAAGCCTGAAGCAACCTGGCACCAGGTTGTCTAACCTGAGCTGAGGAGGTGAGGAAGGGTTGTACAGTTCCATTATAACTACAAAAAAGGAGTTGAAGAAAAGCAGTTCTTGGAAAAGAGACTTCAGTACAAGAAAACATATTTGAATAAATAGGTTCCAAAAAGCTTTGAAGCAGAAAATGACAGTAGAGAAAATGCTGTGTGGTATTCATTGTATAATTTTTCTAAAGGATTAAGGATTAAAAGCTCATTAGAAATAAAATTATTACTAATTTCTACCAAAAAAAAATCATTTGCCAGGTGGATTGTCTCTCAAGTCACACTGTCTCTTTGAGGCTGACTTCATCTACTATCTACAGATGTGAGCCATTCACCCAGAGCTGTTCCTGCCACACATATTTAAGGAAATGAGAAAGGTGCTTGGATTTTCTGAAATACATTAATTTACTATTGAATGAGACAGGTATCAGGTAACCAAAAAGGCTGGATAAATGAATATTGTCTTTAGTTTCACAATTTATTTTATGAATAGATTTTTTTCTTCCTTTGAGACTTTCTAGCTTTCCCGAGAGCTTTTAATGCTGAATATCAGAACATTCTAGCCTTGTAGAACAGCCTTCTCCTTCAGTGAAAAAAAAATCAGACGGAATGAAAATGACAGTGCAGAGACTATAATGACTATTTCCAATTATATTTATTTATTTATTTATTTACTTTATAGTTCAGGCTTTGCTAAAAGAAAAGGAACTGTGATATCCATAGAGGTCTTTGAGGCAATAAATGCTGATTATAAATGTTATCTCAAATGCTGTGCAAATTTTAGAAATGGTCTATATTTATTATAGTATTTATATATATTGCAATCAAAGTGCCATCTGGAACTGAACCAAAATGCTTACCCACATCTTGAGGTGGATTATCTAATTGCAACTGTGCATAGTAATGAGACAGTGAAAGTAGAACAGGAAAAGTCATTATGCTATTATATATAATTTACTGATTATGTGGCTATTTGGCTTTTATTACATGATTAACTACATCATTTTTGAAAGTACGAATTCCAAGATTAAAAAAAAAACAATTTCAGCATAGAAATGATGCAGTTTATTAATTTAGTATTTTGTAAACTTGGTAAAGTATTTATTATCTTCTTTCCTAAAGTATGCAAAATAAATTTTTACCAAGTAACAAATCTCTTGAAGTTAGTTCTGTTATCAGAAGGTCGACCAGTTTCACAGCAAGATAGTGTTGGGTATGAATATATATGTATTTCTCTTCATCTTTACTATTAATGTTACCTAATCCTAATTCCATAGCATGTATTCCTATATAAACTGAACGATCATCTTAAATGATTAAGAAATGACCTATTGCATAGTGTTGAAAGATTATCTTCTATTGCTGGATTATCTACTATACATCTTTTCTGGGGCAAAGATGCACAGAAAGAAACAGTGAACTAGTTTTTTTATAGATCTGCCTTGTGGTAGATGTGTAAGTGTGACTAACTGTAACAAATCTCTGAATTAGTGAATCAGTGCCACTAACAAGAAACTTTCCAGGAACATACTGTGAATGCCAGCAAAACTTTGTTCATAAAACAGATCCAGATAAAATTATTCCTTTTACTACAGTTAGAAAGTTTCTCAAGTAAAATATCGCCAAGTTTGATTCTTCACGTTGGAAGATCAGACTCAGTTAGCAGTATAACATTTACACAACCTAAGAAGTTGTCCATGATCCCAACCGGAGAAGTCAAGGTTCCCCAAGCAGGACCTGCCCTTCCTCATATGTGGGAAAATGCAATTTTTCCTCCACCACTATATCCTGCTGGCTGGTACCTGTAGCCCCCTTTGGGGCACTTCCCCTACTCCATGTTGAGGCTGCCTTCACTCCCCAGGTACATAGCCCCACTCAAAAGGGGTCAGTGACATCGTCTTGGCTGGCGCTGCAGAAGAGTCTGTTTAGTCACAGGAAAGGGCTGTGAGAAAGTCCAAATAGCAGAGCTATGACAGGTAAGAAAATAAAATTGTGGAAGTTAGATTGGTGATTGATAGCAGCCTCAGGGATCCAAGAGGAAAACCAACACAAAAGGTATAAAATCCATTAAAAAAAAAAAAAAAAAAAGTAGAGAATCAGAAGGAGACTCCACTGATAACCTGGTCCAGGGAACAGTGAAAGCCAAACTTCCTCATCCTCAGTGACACCTCCCTGGCCAGTATAGGCTTGCAGGTATCTTAAGGCAGATGGCAAGCAAACTGATGGTTAGCCTTCTCGTGTCTTCTGGATCTGTTAGCATATACTATGTCTGCCCCAGCTTGCAGTCTCTCTTTGCATGCAGTAAAAGGTGGCTGAGTAGAGAGACCCTGGGAGGACTGGTAACAGTTCTGCTTTACCAAGGAGCCTGTATGGAAGTTTGGTGTCACTGGTAGGGCGTAGCTGGCTTAGCATTACAGAATCACAGAATGGATGAGGTTGGAAGGGACCTCTAGAGGTCATCTAGTCCAACCCCCCTGCTCCAGCAGGGACACCTAGAGCACGGGGCACAGGGCAGCACCCAGGCAGGTCTGGAAGATCTGCAGAGAAGGAGACTCCACAACCTCTCTGGGCAGCCTGTTCCAGGGCTCTGTCACCCTCACAGGAAAGAAGTTCGTTCTTATACAGAGGTGGAACTTCCTGTGTTTCAACTTCCACCCATTACCCTCATCCTATCACTGGCCACCACAGAGAAGAGCCTGGCCTCATCCTTCCTACGATCACCCCTCAGGTACTTGAACATGTTAATCAAATCTCCTCTCAGCCTTCTCTTCTCCAGACTACACAGGCCCAGCTTGCTTAGTCTTTCCTCATATGACAAATGCTCCACTCCCTTAGTCATCTTCTTGGCTCTCCATTGGACCCTCTCTAGAAGCTCAATGTCCTAATTTTGCCTAATATTGTCTTAATTGCATCAAGATTTCCACTGTTTTCTTTTAGCCTGTGAAACATGGCTTAACCATGTGTCCTAACTCAACAACGTGCTGAATTACTCTCAGGCTCCAAGGTGAAAAAGAAGGTGCTATCTAGCTCTTTACGTGATAAATGAACGGAGGAAGGAGACAGTAAACCAATTCCAGCTTGCTAAAACCAGTTTAAAATCTATTATTTTGTTAAAACCAGGAAGCTATGATGAGTCTGGAACCTTGCAGTGACATTTCAACTCCCCTGCTGTGAGTGGTAAACCAAGAATATGCTAGATATATACTCTTGTCTTGCCAAATTATCTCCCCGTCCAATGTTTATCATGCGTGAAAGTAGACCACAAACGTATTCAAGTCATGCTAACAGGTCAATTACCACTCCAAATAGGACATAAACAGATTTAAGACCTCCATGGAGAAGGGAAACGAAACACTTCAAAATATTTGCACAGCTAGGTTGTTGAGACTTCTCAAATTAAGGATTAGGTTCAGTGGTTCTGTCAAGATGGCTGGATGCAAAATTGGGTTATACACAAAGTGCTCCAAGTATGCCCCATGCTCCTATAATAGAAGGTGAACCTTCAAGCAGAGAAAAACAATTTGTGCATGCATTCTTGAAGAGATTGTTAACATCTAAGACAAAATGAAAAACCAGCTGCAAGCCTGTTCTTCAAGTTTCCTAAGACTTCAGGTAAATGAGCAAATGAGCTATCATTGAGCAGTTTTGAATTCTTCTAGGCACCTGAGTATGAAGCCTGATGAAAGTTCTGTAGTTATGCGTTAAAAGTATAACATTTTCTGTACATAATGCAGAAGAACTGAAGGAACTGCAACAGAATTTAAAAGGTCTTTTTAAGCCTTAGAAGGAAAAAATTATAGTTTTAGTCTGGTCTGTGGAGTTCTTTGGTCCCAGTAGTGAGGAATCTCTGCTATAATTTCTCTATGCTCTGCTGGAATAGTAACCTGGATCAGATCTTTTCTTAACACAGGCTGGTCTACAGAACCACTTCACTACTCTTCATCACCATGTTGGAGCCAAATTTGAACCACTCATTGAACAGCAGTAGAAAAAAATCTATCAGTAAATGGTCTTCCAATCTGTTTTGCTGCCTGCATTACAAAATAGTAGGTAAAGAATAAATGGATTGTATTTTTTTGTTCTATTTAAAAATTTGAGCGCAAATATTTTTGGCAATGAGTAAACTTGCAGAAGAAAAAAACAAAACCAGCAAGATCTCTCTCTTTTTTTTTTTTTCAAAAAGCTTTGGAAAGAAATCTTCTAATTTTCATTTCAAAATAGTTTGATATAGGGAAAAAAAAGGAATATTACAGAATGTTTTAGTACAGAACAAACTGTTTCACTGAATACAGTGTTTCAAATAGGTTTGAAGTGATTTGTTTTTTCTTTGATTAATGGATCCCAATTTTGCATTTTGACAGTGCATCAAATATGCATTGAACAAACGTGTACTGAAAGTGCATGTGCTAGTAAAGACACTTTTTGCTAGGTGGACCTGTCTGCCTGCTACAGAAACTGACAGACCAAAAAAATATTTTCCTCTTCCCTTCCAGCAAATCTTTCTCTCTCTCTTTTTTTTTTTTTCATTAACATTTCTAAACTCTACAATAGTTGTTAGAAATGAAACAGGCATTTCAGGACTGTCAAATAATGTAGATAAAATTCAAATATCCATTTATATACATTAGAATTTAAAATACTATATTAAAACCGCTATAAATATTGTGAAAAAACAGCATTAAATTACTTGTTGATTTTAATGGATTGGGCAGGTGTGGGAAAAAAAGGTCTTGTAATCTGTCTTGCCACCTCTCTGATTCTGATACTGATAGGAACTCAGAGTAGCTTTAAATGTGAGTTAGCACAATTTAAAGCAACCACAAAGCTCTTCTCAGTTATGCTGAGGCTGAGCCCCCCAGTTCTCTAATTCCTTCCTAGGCTTCCTAGAATGAACCAGTCCATCTCACTCTTCTCCCCAAAACTGCATTTGGGAAAGTGGGTGGTGACCCCAAAGAAAGAATAATATTAAGTTTACGGGAGAAAGATACTTTAGTTAGAACTATACCTGATGACCCGACTGCTGTTTTAAAATCTAAATTATGATGGATTTCTTACTGCAAGGACTCTCAGTGCTGCCAGTTTTTACAAAATGCAGGTGGCAGTCAGAGATAATATTCCTCACACTTACAAATCATACTAGTCCTTTAGAAATATTTGAACACAAATAAATCTGATCATCAATATTGCTTAAGGACTTGTCAGGTAGTATCTGGAAGATGAAGTGGTGCTATTAAAGCCACACTGGAACTAAAGGGAAATCAGAACTCAGCTCCTGCTGTACTTAGAAATGAGCAACACTCCTTTAAAGCCAGATAGTGTTTTTCATATTCTTGGTAAGTAATGTCTTCCTCTTCAGGTAGGCTGATCTTTTACTATGTAGTTATTCAAAGAGTAAAGTACTACTACCTAGCTAAAATATGCAAGACATAAATGATCATTTTTCATATTTCAAATAACCATGTCTAACCTTTCCCACTGTAAGTCAAATACAACCATACAATTTCATTGTATGTCTTCAACAACAACAACAAACAAAAAGAAAGTAATAGAACCAAATACCATCAAATCAACAGGTAAAGTTCCTCATGCATTTCAGAGGAACCACGTGAGAGCACAAGAAAGAACATTCAAAATTCTGGATAAAAGAGCATACAAATTATTTAATATAGTCTCTTACGTATTGAATTGCTCAGCAAAAATCAAATTAGTCGATGTTCCTGTGAGTGTGGTCCACCCTCCAATGGTAGCTGAATAAGCAATACATAAGCACATCACTTTGAAAATCCCATTGTATTTGTCCTCTCTGCTTTTTCTTCCTGTTTCAGCAGGCGATAGGTTCTGCTCAGTAAGAATATACACTGATTAACATGTTATAGGGGCTAATCATCAAGCACAAAATTCAGGAGCGTCCCAAAATTTCACAGTCAAACAATGTTCTGACAATATTACCATCTGCAGTATGTTTTGGTTTGCTATTACAATTAAACTTGTGAAGGGAAAGAAAGGAGAGCCAAATCCTGGAGTCCTTTGCCTAAGTTTTCTCAGTCTGTACACAGGAACTCCCTTCCTCCCATTCCCTCCCTACTCTGACATTACTGCTCGTGAATAACATTGACAAAATCCTGAGAAATTCAGTCTATAGGTATTTCAAATTCCAGGAAAACCTGATATCCACTGTTTGCCCTCAGGTGAAGTAGGTTTAATTTACATAAAATAAATTTGAAGCACAAAAGCACTAATGAAATAATGAAATAAACTTCTTGTATACAAATATATAATAGACATAAATATCTTACATTGAACTTCATCACTAGCAGCACTATAATAGGTGTTTTATGAGAGTTAGGTTAAAACTAAAATACACATTAGATGCATTAAAAATGACAATTACCTTTTCATTTTCTTCTTTCTTTTCATTTTCTATTGTGCACACAGTATTACCCATACCTTTGTCATATCTGGAAAAATAAAGATATCTATTAAGTGGTATTTCATTTAGATGAATTCTTCAAACAGATGTTAAGAAATGAATAATTGTTACCCATTGGCTTCTTTTGTTTTCTCTTTCCATTCATTGGTTTCACATTCCATAATGTTTTCTGGAACACATCAGTTGAAAGACAGGTAAGGATTTAGAGGTGCAAGAAAGAAACTTTTCCATGAGTATATCCTAATCCATTCAATTGCTTCCTATCATCTCACTTATAGATTTTTAATAGCCAGTTTTAAAAACAGCTACACTGTGCCTGCTGAAAGGCTAAGCGAGCTGGACCTGTATAGTCTGGAGAAGAGAAGGCTGAGAAGAGATTTGATTAACATGTTCAAGTTCCTGAGGGGTGAATATAGGGAGGATGGGACCAGGCTCTGGAAGTTTAATCTCCATATGAGGAAGAAATTCTTTCCTGTGAGGGTGACAGAGCCCTGGAACAGGCCGCCCAGAGAGGTTGTGGAGTCTCCTTCTCTGGAGATCTTCAAAACCCACCTGGATGCCACCCTGTGCCACGTGCTCTAGGTGACCCTGCTGGAGCAGGGTGATTGAACTAGATGATCTCTAGAGACCCCTTCCAACGTTAACCATTCTAGGAATCTGTGATACTCCTCCGCTATTGCTGTTGCCCCAGAATCTCAATCTTCTTCTGATTAGGAACCTTTTCCTAATTTAGAGTCCTTTTGAGATTCATTTATTCTTCCAACATTATCCTAAAGCTTAAAGAGCTCCCTCACTAATGTTTAACATCTGGTGTATTTATAGCCTGCAGTCTTATTTCCTTTCAGCTTAATTTTATTGGGCTGAACAAGTCAGCCTCTTCCCTGCTCTCATAAAACTGCCGTATCCTGAACCGGTTCAGTTTTCCAAGTAAGGCCTCACCATGAAATACGTGATGGTGGAGGCACTTCCAGGCATCCTCATTTCGTGTGGTCTTTACCTTGCTGTGGAAGGGGGAATGTAGGAACTGCAACAGATGCCTACCATCAAGCTCCAGTCCTGGGTTGGTGGAGCCATTGGAACAAGACATCTCCAGCGCATCTACTTCGGATTCAGCCGTGATGATCTGCTGAGCTACCGCCTCTACAATTGGCATCACCATAGCGGCAGCAGAGGTGTTGCTGAGCCACATAGACAGGAAGCTACAGCTAATCATGAAACCCAGAGTAAGCCTACAAGGAGAAAAAGAGAACCCATTACTGTTACAATATTCCCTCACATTTATTCCAAATGGTTTTTTTTTTCTACAGAAGGATATAATGTAGAAAGCACTAAATGTTTAGTGCTTGTAATTGACCTTAGGGGAAGTTTGTGAATTAAAATGATCTTGATCAAAGACACAGAAATTATTATCTTTTAGAATTTTAAGGGTCAAATACATTATTATAAATTGCAACAGAAGAAATAATGGTTATTTACAGTCTTTGAACAATCTTCAGCTGGATAAATATCACCATGCATGTCACAAGTTCAAAGAAAAGTTAAAATAGCTATATTGCCGAATGCTATTAATCTTGCTGTACTGTGCAAGATAGCCTAAAAGTCTGGACTTATTACTTTGGCTGTCAGTTCTTTGGATAATAGCGAAGGTGTTGTAGGAAGAAATATTAGCAATTCAATAGGTGGCACTTAACTTAGCTCTTAATCAGTGCCCCAAGATAGAATTGGAGTTTATTTGTGCTTCAGTGAATTTCATATTTCCTGTTAAACAAAAAAGTGAAGGCCATTATAAAGACTCAGCACGGTGTTGGCACAACTTATGCTAAGCTTACCACAAAATATGACATCAATATTTTTCAACAAAATATTGTTGAATTGCATCAACTTTACTGGAGTCACTCTAGTTTCACACTAAAAAGGCAATTTTTCTGTGTAACATCAGGTAAATGTAGACAGGTTACATTTAGATTATGGAACGCACTATCATTTGTAATGCATATATTGGAGTTGTAAATTAGAATATTTTTCAAATGAGTGCATTTTTATTGACTGCTTGTCACGAAGTGTTGATAGTCATTAAACACCTGGCATGCCTCACTGCAGAGAGACAACAGCAGTGAGAGAAGAGACCACAATACATTTCATTTCTGAAAAGTCTTTCATGCAATTTTCAAACCTCTTAGGCTAACTTCTAGATATAATACTTGCACAAACTGTAAGGATTAGTCAGTATTTCAAACAATATTTTTGTATGAACGCATTGTACTTAAGGAGCTGCTGGCTGACTTTCACTATCATCTAGTGATGGCATTTCAAACCATTTTTTTTCACAATAGGTACACAGAAGTTCAACACCCCAATGGCCTGTCCTTATTTTTGTGCATTTCTAATGGCCTAATGATGAAATGAACTGCAAATCTGCAAATGGTGCACCTGATTAAGCACACAGTCATCAATAAAATAATCAAAAAACTTAACTCAGTTTTGGTTGAGCTACTCAGCTGGGAATTGAGGATAAATTGGATTTTTGGAAGAAATTTCAATGTAGAAAAGACTGGTCAGGCTACGTACACTGAATATAAATATCTACATTGTGGATGAGTATTATTTCAGTATAATAAAACAAATAAAGCAAATTAAGACATTTGTTAACATCTATTTCAAAATTACTCATCATGTGTTTGCAACATTTCATAGACTGATATTCAAGGGATCATTAAAATACCGCAGTATCCTCTAATGAATGGTTCAAAAATTGATTGAAAATATAGTAATAAAACTTAACCTGTTTAGCCTGGATTATTTTCCCTGCAGTGTTATTAAATATATATGGGTATATATATTCTGCATGGAATCTTGCAGGATAACTTCATTTACACTCAACTGTAAGATCACTCTTTGCTCTGTCATGCGCAATATAATCTTTATTACTCATTCTAGGCTTTGTGGGTTGGAATAGGCATATTCCTCTTCCCTTGCTATGAAATCCCTGCAAACCTCAGATTAGACCATACAGATCAAATGATTGGAGATTATTGTATCTATCTCCACCACTGCGGATATTCCTCTACTTCAGAAATCTCCTAATGATACAATCTCTGCCTTGGGATGGAGGTGGTTCCAACATGCAAAGGCTGGCTGTGGATTCCTTCTGTCAAGGAACTACACACAAACACTTTGCATCACTTTGCAGTGGGTCTGCAGATAATGAGCAGCAGATGCTGAGAGGTGGGAGGATCCTCTCCTTTACAGATCATCTTATCACAATCTTATCAGCTTCTTATGATAATCAAAAAATTTGTCAGAGCTGAGATAAGAGGGATACCGTCTCCTCTGGGCTTCAGAATTGTCTGTGGGATTGTTTTACATATCTTCAGCAGCTGACTGTAGTTTTCTGCATCTCCACTGCAAGCTGCCCAGCAGTGCTCATCTTAGCACCATTCACTAATGTTCTCATTTACAAGAATTCAACTAAATGATAGGCACTCAAGATTGATCAAGAAAGAAAAATTGAAATAACTAATCCTGCATGGCTCACAAATACAGCTAAAAGTAAGGGAAGACAGTTGAATATAATAACTTTTTGTCAAGAATGAAAGATAAAAGCTATTGAAAGAGGTAGGGGGAAAAATGTATACGATATATTTAAAATTAGGCCTGATGGCGCTCTAAGAAGTTGAAATAATTCACTATTTCCAAAAGGTGTCATTAGCTAGATCATGCAAGATGCTTCTGATTATTTAGGTCTCGGCTTTTTTTTTTTTTTTTCTGATTTTTTTTAGTCCCCATCGCTTTTTGCTTCTGAAGAACTCAAAAGAGTTTGTATTCTGGAAAGCCAAACGTACTCCAGATCTTGTCTGCAGCCTTACTGATGTGCTGACAGATGAAGCTGCTCTGCTGTAAACTTTCTAAGGAAGCAAAGAAAAGCGTTTTGGCTACATAAGATACATACTGATACCGAGTCAGTAAAGTGTGCGTGATTTTATTTTTTCAACACTTCATTCAGCTGCAGAAGTTCCTATTCATTTGATATTTTCTTTCTTCCCATATAGAAAAAAAAAATCCTTCCCTACCATATTTTGTATTTCCTTTCTCTCACTTTATATTGTGAATTCTTGTTCTATACTTAGTATATGTCCGGGATTTTGCAAACAGTGCTGAAATACAGACTAATAATAACCATAGTATGGATTTTCAGCTGTAGGCAGTGGTTATTTAATAGACTAACAATTGATAAGAAATAGAAACCTTACATTCACAGTTTTGTCACCTTCTCTCTTCAGAAGGATGTTTATTATGAGCAGAATCCTTGCAGACAGCTTTCAGTCTTATAATTAGGATTTCAGCAAAATAGCAAAGTATCACCTACTGATCAGTCAAACCTTTTCACACATGCACCTTATTTATTTATTTATCAGTAGCAAATAAAGGCTTGATTACTACAGAATAAACAAGAGGCAGTTATTTCTTGTATACCCAGCTTTCCAGAGGGGTTACTGTCCTTCAAGACATTACTTAGCACGTACCATGCAGGGTTTACACCCACCAGCATCACCATTCTTAAAGCCACTCTTTTGTGTAACTTCCATTTTTCAATTGCTGCTGCCAAACAAATCACTCCAATTAATAGCAAATGAAAGTCTCTAAAGTAAGCAGATGCAACCTGAAATAAAAACAAAAGGTTGTTGTTAACTAAATAGTGACTTTTTTATCGGTATTTGCCATTACTAGTTTAATTAATATATATCTTAGAATCATAGAATGCTTAAGGTTGGAAGGGACCTCTAGAGGTCCTCTAGTCCAACCCCCCTGCATACGCAGGGACACCTAGAGCACGTGGCACAGGACTGCGTCCAAGCGGGTTTTGAAGATCTCCAGAGAAGGAGACTCCACAACCTCTCTGGGCAGCCTGTTCCAGTGCTCTGTTATGAGGGCACACTGCTGCCTCATGGTCAACTTGTCACCCACCATGACACCCAGGTCTTTCTCTGCAGAGCTGCTCTCCAGGTCAACCCCAGACGCCAGTACAGGCTGGGGACTATTCCTCTCCAGGTGCAGGACCTTGCACTTGGCATTGTTGAATATATATATTCACTTCTGAATATCTATATACACTGTAATGCATATGTAGATTTTTTTTGATTAAATTTAGACTGTTGATTTCATTATTGTAAGTTAACAATTGATAGAAGAGAAACTACACTAAAGATAACAGTTAAAATTAATAAAAAAAAAGACTTATGGTATAAATAACTGAAGATCGTCTGTCATGCCTCATATATAAACTAAATCATCAATAACAGTTGTTTTTTTTTTTTGGAGGGAGGTGGGATTACAGTAGTCATCCAACTTTAACAGTAGAAATTCAAAATAGGATAGTCTGTGATGTTGTCATCTCTCTAAGGTGGATGCTCAGAATTTTGCAGATTCTGACATACTAAAGATCCCTTTAGCGTGCCTTAATAACACTAAGGATACTTTATATATGATTAGTGTTTCCCCACTCAGTGGCATCTAAAAACTGAATGATAATACAGCAAAAGTAAAATCTAAGTAAGAACAAAACATGTGAGCAACTCTGAGACCAGCCTGCTGTGATCAATACTCAGCAAATACTTGGATTAACCTATGAAGTTTCAGTGCTATGCAGCTCTTTCTCTGGAGATTCTGTGATTTATCATTGAAAACTATGATACAATTGAGAAGAAGAAAAGGTTACCTGCTTAGATGACATTATTCCAAACAATGGGAACATAAAGGCAGGGAGCAAAGCTGAAACACCCAGGGGCAAAGCTTCTGTGAGCCAAAAGATGGCAACTACAAACAGCGTGTATGCACATTCTGCTTCCTAGAATATACAAGACATCAACATAGACATGACTGGATCATCCAGAAAAAATAATATATATAAATATATATATATATATAAAAATATCTGCAAAAAGTCCACCCAGGTCAATAGAGAAATTCCCTTCACCTGGTATGAATCTAGGAATTTAGATATACAATACTTACTGTCTGCTAGTCATAATGTTCCTATAATTTGAGACATATTCTGTAAATAGTTCAAAAGCTTTTTTTTCTTTAAAATGGAAAATTTATATTGCATATTATTATTTAAACTCTAATGCTTATGAAAGAAAAGGGCAGCTACTTTTTCAAGCACAATTAATCATTCTGGTCATTCTGGGGCATTCTCTGACCTTGAATTAGCATGAATTGCAAACATTCTGCACCTGCAAGCAAACCTTTAGAAGTCTTGAAGAAGTTGCAAGCAATAATTGGCTCTTCTGTGACCAATGAAATTATCTCAACAATGTCAGTAAGTATTTCATCTAATAGAGACGGCACAGTCCAAAACCGACAAAACATGCAGTTGTTCTAAATTGTTTTCTGAAGTTTACAATTTTAGTGAGTATCATCTATTCAGAATCCTGGAAAACAAAAATTTAGTGCAAATCTGCCTGTAGAATGAAGCCACCATGATGCTGATAAGAAACACACCAGAAAAGGATGAAGAAGGAACAACAGAAACAAGCTGCAGCTAAAATAAGACTCTGGTGAGATGTGGTCTGAAAGACTGACTTTGCTGTGAGATTGAGTGAACCTAGTTTGCTGAAGAATCATAGAAACCAGTTTTGCATAGCTTCAATTTATATTTCTTCACTTGAACAAAGTGGTTTAGAAAATGTAGTGTCACTCACTAGGGAACGAAGCTACTCAACAACAACAGAAATGGATTCTAGTAGGAGAGGAGTTTAATAAAATGGGGCTGTGAATCTTTGATTATAAAATGACAGTGTCCAACCCAAGTCAGTGAACCATATTTAATATTTATTATTTGAAAAGCTTTGGATGTGGATGAAGCAATCTGATAGTGCCAATTCAAGTACAATTTAGAAAGTATTCAACTCATCTGAATCCTACCGACTTAAAAATCTGGCAGATTACTGGATCTGTAACAGGTGGTGTAAATGCAGTCTAACTGAGAAACAAGACCTTGACCTGGACTTTCATGTGTTATCATACTCATTTGTGACAAAGAGAAACACTAGGAAAAAAATATATAACTGTTTATATCAACTTGGAATTGTCACAGGAATTATTGAATGCCAGCAGAATTTATTTTGAGTAAAGAATAATTAAGCTGTCCTGCATTTGCTAGGAAGCAGAGGGAATTTCTTGGATATTTGTTTTCTATCCCTTGCTATCAGACAAAACAATATCTGATAAACTTAACATAAGCCATCTTGAAAATTGTTGGGTATTTTGACTCTGTTCCTATGTCTGTAAGTTCTCTAGAACTAGAAGTTCTCTGCTCTATAAGTATCTATTTGTAAATTGCTTCTGTGTAATTGAAATTTAGAAACCTGACTTAAAATATACAGATCATGTTGTATCACAATAACTTTTAAAATCTTTATTTTACTATCAAGTCGCAGATTGAACTACTTTAAACATTAGTACTCTGTAACGTTCTATGAAACCTAGGGAAGCGGTAAGAACTGGCTTCCAGGGAAAACACTGTTACAGGAAAAAATAATACACAGTCTAATCTATATATTTGGAAAATTAGATCCATGATGTACAAAGAAACAAAGCTCATACTTCAAAACTTCTTTAACTCTCTGAACTGAAAAAAAGAGGCAATCCAGTCCTCTTGATTACTTGGTGAATATTTCAATTTAAACAAATTCTTGCTGAATTGGTTCCTAACTTCAGGCACAAAAGAGTTAGCACAGAAAGGATTCCATTGCCCCTGAAAAAAACATCATGATGCATTACAGCAGTTCAAAAGTGCAGAGGAACTGGCAGATATTCCTGCTAAATACACTTGCTTTAACCGTTGATCCTTTGAACAGTCTTGGAGTCAACGGCTTTGTAATGAACACAATAGCTAATGTTTTTCAGAGATATTTTACATAAAATGATATCAAGTCTGGGAGAGATCACTATTTCACTTCAGATTAATATATCATTTTAAAGGTTTTCTTTGCTGCTGTTGGGGGTGGGGCATTTTTTTGTAAAATGCTCTTCAGTAATCACAAATAAAGGACAAATTCAAAAGAAAAGCAATTACAGATCAGTTGAGGAGACTGTGGAGCTATATGATACATGGAATTCAGATAATATGTGTAGTGCAGAAAGTCTAAATTTGATTGTATTTTCAAATTCTAAGAATTTAACAGCAATACTAAACTAGAAGTGAAAATCCCAGAACAATTCTCTTTGAAGGTTGCCTAAGATCATGTCTAAAACTTCTTTCTAGCCATTACATATCTTTTTTCTTTCTTGTGTTTTTACTGAATTTTACTGTTTGGACAGCAGTTTTCCATAGTTTTCAATCATTCAGGTTTTTTCTGGGGGGGGTGGAGAGGGAAGGCCACAATCAAAACAATCGAGTTTATTCTGAAAGAGAAGTCAATAAGAATATGGTTCTTGTCAGGTGAAAGTTTAAAGTTTTTATTTGTTTGATTGTAGATACTCTGGCAATTGCAAACTGCTTTGGAGAATCTGAAATTTTTTAGGACATTTATGATATGATTGTAGCTTTTGCTACTGTAAAAATCTTGCTATGCTAAATATAACTAAGCTATGTACATTCTGAAATAGCAGCAAAGTCCTTTAGAACTATGCTGTTATCAGCTATGGAAATTTTATCTGTAGTGGCTATGCTCCATGCCCAGTCCTACTGAAGTTTCATGAGCTCGCAGCTCACCCCCAGGGAAGTCCTCTCCTTTGCATTTTAGCCAGGCAGTAGGTAGATTGGGAATGCAATGCAAATATATTTTTCTGTACAGAAAAGATTC